CGGGAAAAGGAACGGGAGAAAGAGAGACAGAAGGAAAAGGAGAAGGAGAGTGATAAAGAAAAGGAGAGAGACAAGGAGAGGGAAAAGACGAAGGAGAAAGAAAAGGGAAGCGAAGGAGAAAAGGATAAAGAGGTAGAAAAAGAAAAGGAGAAAGAGAAGGAAAGACAGAGAGAAAAAGAAAAGGAGAAAGGAAAGGAAAAGGAAAAGGGAAAGGAAAAGCAAGAGATAAAGCAGCAAGAAAAGGTTCAAACGAGTGGAGAAGTTTGACTAGTGCTAAACAGCGAAGAGGTAAGAGTTATTCGGTTATTTATTAGCACTTCGTCGGTGTTCGGCAATACACACTGAAATTCTTACTACATACAGTAAATTCTCTACAAGTGTCAGTCAGTTTGGATTCTACAAGTGTCAGTATAGATGGTCCTACGCCTATGTTATCCTCGCTCGCTGTCAGTCAAGCGTGTGTCTACACCACTCGGTTTCTTTTACGAGATTTCACGGCTCGACAATTCATAATAGTAAAATGTAATTTCTTTAATTTTACATTTTTCATCTGAAATTTTTTTTAACATGTTGGTGAGATTTGTCTGATGAAAATGATATCAAACACGACATAATTTAAACAACATTTACTTATTCACTGTCACACCAGATAGTGAACGTGTTAATAAGTAAATTTTGTTCAAATAATGTCGTGTTTGGTGTCATTTTCATCAGAAAAATCTCATCAATATGTTAAGAAAAATTTCGGGATAAAAAAACCTAAAATTAAAAAAGTTGGTATTTAAATCGCTTGGTTGCCTCGACTCACGTTTCATGCTTATCTTTTATTCGCTGGCCTTGCCTACGTTCGGCAAACTACAAAGGCGGGCGCGAGGCTCGAAAACGTAGACCCTGACTCTACAAGTGTCAGGTTTAGGTTCCTTGCGGACTGACACTTGTGGAGAATTTACTGTATTTCGATATTCGAATATTCGAAGTAGTCACCATAACTTGGTTTCACAGTCATAATCCAAATATCCTAATACAAATAATACTAGTCTACAAAATTTTACTTTTTTTGTCACATAAGGTTTAATATGCAATTTTAATAGTATTTTTTATGCTGAATTCATATATGCAATCCGTTTGTTTCCATCACGCAGGATTTTGTGGTGACCAACTTTAATATTTAATAACTTGTATAACCCTATGTACAGTAGTGCACACATAAGCGTCCGCAGTCGAGACCGAATGCGGACGCTTAAGTGGGGAGGTGACTTCTGCGAATTTAACTAAACAAAAGAGAGGAGATGCGTCTGAGTGGGATACCGATATATCAAGTGTCAGTTGTTCACATTCAGGAGTCGATATCGAATTACTTTGTTTCACTCGAACTCCACTCCTATGTCCCATTTCCAAGAATTGCTTGGGATAGCGACGGACGCTTATATGTGCACTGCCGTATTTAGAAGTTGTAGAACACTATCTAAAGCAGAGCTGCTTAACTTCTTGCTCACGAGCAAATTTCCCCTCCCAAGGTTCCCCCACTATGCGACTGAGATGATCTCGCTCGAGTTGCGGCGCGGTGGGAGGGCGCGAGAAGGAGTCCTCCCACCACAACTCCAGCGACTGCCTTTTGTTTATGTTACACATTTTTCGTGTTCGTACCAGTCATTTCGTACCAAAAAACTATCGCTGGAGTTGTGGGTGCCCGCGCCTCAACTCAAGCGAGATCATCTCAGTCGCACAGTAGGGGAACCTTGGGAGGGGAAATTTGCTCGCGAGCAAGAAGTTAAACAGCTCTGATCTAAAATATGGTACTGGTTGATTTCCTGGAATATTTTGCTTGAGGAAAGTGTCAAAATTCAGGAAAATTACAATGTAGTACACATAATAACAGTTTATTTGCAGATATGTGGAGTTATGAAGTGGCGTATACAAAATTTACCTATAGTTTTGAAGGATAGTTATGAAATTCTTAAAAAATTAGCTACTCGTGATTTCCATGAAGTCATACTATATACCAAATCTGTGTTCTCTTTACCACTTTATAAGATATATTTAAAATTAGTACCTCGGTATCATTTAGGTTCCATACATTAAAATTTTCATAAAATGTACCATTTAGTAGTTATTCGAGGTGATCAAGTGAGTTGAAAGACTCTGTATTTGCTACTTGCTATTGATGAAATTATTTACTCTTTATTTATGGATGGAGGGTACTTTGTCCGCGCAGACACGTGTCCAGGTTTAGGAGGGATATTCCGAGGCGCGGTTTCGGTGTATAGATCGGCAAAGAAAAGTTGAGACTTCAGGCGGGACTTACGGTCACGAAGTGGGAGATGGAGGAGACACTGTGACGTTGCTGTTAATCAGCCAATAGCGGTAGCGTAAGGCTATCGCATTTACGCTCCCATAAACAACAGTAGACGACGATCGAGCCTCACTTGAGCAGTTGGAAACAGATGAGACACGTGTCAATTTTTGAGATGCTTTTAGAAGCGATTTTAGAAAATCTACACCTGTCCCCCGATTTACACGGATCCTCAGAATACCGTGTAAATCGAAATCATGGCTTTTTGTATGAAAAACCGTGTAAATCGGGGAAAAAACAAAATGCGTATAATTTAGTCAGTGATTTAATTAAATTCATTATTTTAAATGTAAAATAAAAATAAAATAAAAATGAAAAACAAAAAATATTCAGGGTCAGCGAAAATAGCTAGTCGCCAATGAAAGATTACAATATGAATGCTTTTTGTGTGCAAAAAAGGGGGAAATTCCGTTCTTTTTTTGGCTTAATGCCAGTGTTAACAAACGAACGGTACTAAAAAATGACTGTATAAATATGTGCGCAGTATAAATTTTTATTTTTAACAGTTTATATTTGTGAAAAGCCGTTATTTTGAAAACCGTGTAAAAGTGAAATCGTGTAAATAAAGTATCGTGTAAATCGAGGAATAGGTGTATTAATTAACTTCAAATTGGTTTTATAAGCAATTTTTTAGAACGCAGAAAATTATTTTTCATATTCAGAGATTACAAAATAATTTTCTGTTTTCACCTTTTTAAATCTTAAAAAATATTAATACATTTCCTGAGGTTTCCTTTACAATAAATGTATGTGGGTTACTTGGAAATTGATGTCGTTGGTGCCATTAAATGTTTGTCTTGCGCGCCGACATAGGTAAGAAAGTAAAGCGACCAGACAGTTTCTAAACTTTTCTGTTTTTTATCAGCACGCTACATTGTCGACGACTTATTGAAAACCGTTTGCCTACCTACACCGCAACTTCCCCTTAAGCGAAAACAGCGTAGGACGGTAGAGTAACGGGGATGGGATGTCTTCTTACAGCCTGCTAAACCAATGGTCTAAACCATTTACATATAAAGTAGACTTCCTATAGAGTTCCTATAACGCGCCAAAGATATCGCGACTACTGTTTTCATATAACGCGATTCCTCCTACAACGTGCTAAATAATAAAATGCAGGAATTCCCCGCATTTAAAAATTACATCTACTTTAGTTGAGCATTGCACTGTTTTCTTTATCGTTACCGACTTCTTCTATTTTATAACTGTTTCTGGTTTTTGCTGATTGTTTGTCTATTACATACATTAGTAATATGTTCTTTAACAGCGAATATATGTCACTTATTTAAAAAAAAAGCTATCCTATTTGATAGAACATAGAAAATAAAAGTTGGCATGGCAATAATCATTCCAAATATGTTACTCTAGATTATTCGCGTAATACGAGAAAAATTCTCGTGCAACACGATTTCTCATACAACGCATAACGTATTAACCGCGTTATGTATACGGGAGTCTACTGTGCAACAAATTCCACTCAACCGGCGACAGTGTAGAACCGATAGGTAGTAGGGATGGTCTGACCACCTATTTTCCGCTTATTTGGTCAGGCGATGACGGCAGAAGCCTCAACTTTACTTTGTTGATCAGTACCTACACCGCAACTTCCCCACAAGCGACGGCAGTGTAGAACCGAAGGGTAGTAAGAATGGCCTGACCGTCTATTTCCCGTTCATTTGGTCAAGCGATGACGTCGGGAGTTTAATTTTTGCTTCGCCAATCTGTATCGCCTGAGTTCAATGAATCATCTACTTTCAAAAATTTCAGTTCCTTTTATTTTCATCGTATCTTCATGTAAATAGCACCAATGGAATTTATAAGATTCTCCTGATGAAAATGAAACGAAACACGGAATCAATCGGATCAGTTGTACCAGTAATCAGTTGAAATATCTGAGATTGAGGAAAAGAAATTTAACTCTTTTTTTACTAACGGTTACTACAGACTAGAGTCACCCATCGTCGAGCGCTCGCTATATCTTATCGGTGACTATAGTCACCCATAAAAATTTCGAGTATAGTATAGCTTGATAACTTCAGATTAACCGATTTACTTTTATCGAGTAGTTTCATTGTATTGTCTTAACACTTTGCCGGCCGCTGTCACGCTGGCGTGACTTTTTCTCGCCAACGGTTATCGGCCGCTGTCACGTACTCGTGACTTCGGTTCAGCGCGGCTACGATGTTTCCACTATGCTTCTGTTTTAACTGTCCCGATTGCCTTTTCTTGACATTCTTTTTGTTCTGTTAGTCTCAGATAGTCTTTCGCAGCCTTCGCATCTTGAAAGCTTAGATTCACTGTTATAAAATACCCTTCAAAATGTCACGCAACGAAGAAATATATGCCGATGAGTTGTCAGACGTGTACGATGATACTGATAGCAAAAGTGATAGCGATTCGGATAGTGCGAGCGATATCGTTGTGAGAAGATTTATAAATAACGGAAGACCAATAATCAGTGACTCCGATAGTGACGAAGAGACTTCTTTACCAAATGATTGGTCAGAAATTGATTTTGAACCTGACCTCCATAGGTGTCTGGAAGAGTCTGGATTGCAAACACCGTGCCCACAAGACATAATGTCAAGTGTGGAATTGTTTCTTGATGACGATTTATTTATTTTAGTGCCTTTTTTAAGGTACGAGCAGTAGAACCCGCGCGAAACTCGCCGGCGGCAACGTAAATTCCATGCGACAAATCAGCGGCCGGCAAAGTGTTAAGAACTGTGAAAATAACGAAAAGAATAATGTTAAGCTCTGACGCTAAAGTGTGGAGTAGGTTCAAATCGGCCAGCAAGGCCATCCTGCTGGGACCAAGTAAGGATGCTCGCAGCTCCGCCTCCCCGTGGCTCCCGCTGGTAACGACGCTCCGGGCTGCACGCAGCCTGGAGGGTCGGCTAAGTGAGCTGCGTCCCGAAAGGGTAGGTCCAACTTGCTCGGTGATCCGAACGGTGAGAGCAGGGTTTTTCCAAGTCGCGCGCACTCCACCGAAGCGCGCGTTCCCCTGGCAATGGATCCCAGAAAGTAGAGATACCAACATCTTCTCGCGAAAGCCGGTATAGAGCAGAAGCTCGAGGTACGGCGCCGGTCGATCGTCTGATCGAGCCTAACTATCCGCAAACAATACTTGTCGCTAAAGTGTACGCTCGCGTTTTGACTGTCCCGTATCAGCGGCAGCGTACACGCGGCCAACACTGCAGTAGCGAAAGGGTTAAAGCTGATTAATGTTACGTTGAGTTCTATTTACGCCGTGGCTGAACTCATTTTCATCGGAAGAACCACGCTAATTCGCTGGTATCTCTATATCCATTACGACAGGATGCAAATTAAGGAAATTAAAATTTTTGTCATTGGTTGATTCGTTGTAACGCGCACAGTATTTTTTCCACGTGCGTGGGTGTGTGTATGTGCAACAGAATGGCAAGAGTTATTTAAGGGCGGAAGTGAAAGATTCTATAGAACGGCAGAGTTGGGCAAACTTTATTTCGAATAACGAATAAAAGATGATGAATAAAGTCCCAGGATTTATTCATGAATAACGTTAGTCGAAATTTTATTCGAATAAGATTTCATTCTGTTACGACCAACGAATTCCAATGGTTTTAAAAAATATTAGAAGGGTGAAAACCCTTCCTCTTCTTTTTTTTTATTTATTAAATTTACACAGAAGAAGAAGTTACAATATTTACTTCACGTCAATTATTGTTACTGGGATTACCACTCAGCGATCTGTCTATATGTACAGGGTGTTACGTTCAAACGAGAACGGTGGAACATCTCACGAGGGATGGAAGCTATCAGACAAATGTTCCTACGAAAGTTGTTTCGTATAAAGAGGCACATTCTGTGGTAGAAATAATTTTTCTGTAGGTACAGTAAAGGAGGAGATATCAAAATCGTTAATTTTTTTAAATGGAACCCTGTACTTTTTTATTCATTATACGATAGCGTTTATTGAGACGAATTCAACAAAGTGCCAAATTAAGTAATTTATTGCTTACTCTTTTATTTATTGTCTAAACATCGCCTAAACATCCTCTACTCTACCAGGAATAAGAAAGTACGGCAAGCAATTTAAAAAAATTGAGACGACCTTGAAACTTCAGAAAATCCTCCACCTACAGAAAAATTATTACTGTCATATTATACCGTACGACTTTCGTAAACAAAGTTTCTCCATATCTCTAAAAAGAACGGAGACATTCAAGGTGATCCACGTTATTGCTCCACCCAGTATATAGCACCAAGCAAGTTTGGTCTAACACATTTTTTTCTATCACCGAGATATTCAGGTCGCCTGTTTTAGGTGCCTCATTCTGCATACATGTAATATAATCTAATTTGCTGACCTGATCTCATGTTTGTTCAGCGGTTACAATTCGAATAATGCCCAACTCTGACGAACGGTAAGAGTGGAACCGAAAAGTGGCGGAGGAGAAAACTACGTGACCGGTAAATACATTTGGCCCCGATAATACAGAGTTCAGAACAAAACAAGTTTGATTTTTTTCGCAAATTATCGTTTTATCATAAATAAAAAATAGTTGTATTAATAATGACTTGGGATGTGATACTTTTTAAAACGTTCTGGAATAGGGAGCATGTATAATGCATATTGCTTTATTTATCTTTTTGTACTTTTATGAAGTTTTCCACAAAAATATATCATTGCCTTCATTCTGGATACTTTACCAGTTTGAAAATTATTATTTTCACTTTCATGAAAATGTAAGTCATTATAATCAACTTTAAATCGTTTTCCTTTACACTGTATTATTTAATTCTTCCACATACATGTTTTTCAAAATTATAAATTATTAAAATTGCGTTAGTACATGATTCCCTTATGGGAACATATATAATAATTCAGCTACATAAACACAAATGTTTGATACTTACTCCTGCCCACTATTATACGAAAAGCTGATTTATTTAAGTCAGTAAACAATTAAAAATAAAAAAATTCTTTACTCATAAAAATCAGTTCATACAGCAAATAACATAAGATTCGGTTTCAAGAAAATTGTAATTGTACTTTCTTCAGAAATTGCAGCAGTTAAGCAAAAAATGAATTCGTGAAAGAATATACAGTGTGCTCAGCAACCGTAGGTAGAAAATTTAAGGAGTGATTCTGCAAACTAAACTGACAGTAAGATAAAAAATCAAGAATAACAAAATTGCGTTTGAGGGTTCCTGTTTTAGTTATTAACGTTTTAAAATACCCCTATAGTTGAGCATTCCTCCTTACGCCAACGAATGTAGGGACCGTCGAGACACGTGGGGTACAGTGGTCCTCAAAAGCAAGGACATATGAACGACACCTTATTTAATTGAAGTCATCGAGAGAAAGACAGTGCCTGTAAACGACATTACCGATTTTCAACGACACAGATGTATTCTGGAAAGTTTTTTAAACGTGTATTCCACTGTATCCTGTAATATAATGTAAACAATGTACACGATACACACGATACACACAAATTACTGGAAAACAATCATTGTACAAGGTGTAAAAAAATTAATAGTCATGACACTTGTAAAAAAGACTTGCCGGAAAATTAATTATAACAATACATCAACGTATTCTGCTCGATAAGAAAAAGTTTGAAAGGAGATATATGCCGCAAAAAAGCAGTTTTCACGATAAACGTTGATAAATTTTGGCAACGATTTGATTTGGTAGAATCATATGTATAGATTAAGACCTACTACCATCTTGTCATTTGTTAAGATCTAGCCGTGTGGCAGGCCTGCCGGCCATGTGTCGTTGGTTTTGAGGATCACTATACCCCCCGTGTCTTGATGTGCCCTACATTCGTTAGTGTAAAGAGGTTTGCTTGGCCACAGGGATATTTTTAACTTTTTAGAACGGAAGAGTTAAAAAATAAGATAGTGATTGTCTTTTTAAGTTTGTATTTTTATTTTTACAAGTAGTTAGTTTATCGCGGTTCGCGTATGACAATAATATCAGCGGTTATTATCTTTTCCTTTCTTCGGACTATCTTACATAGTCAACTTATTTTGCATTGGCGAGTTTGAACGCTTCACCTTGTCGTCGAATCACTTTAGACGGTGGATTTTACGAATTATCTTTATTTGTTGATAGTTTTTTCTTTACACTGTGGTTTTGCGAATATAAAGTGTACGGTCTAAACTGCCTTGTTATTCAATGCTGACTGCCTTTGTTCTTTTTCGAGGCTGCCTTTATATTGGGGTTTTTGGAAGTTTCGGCTGGGGGAATTTAGGAATGCGTCCGTTAGGTAAGGACCAGGAATGTGCAAGGATAATGATCAGGACTCGTTAGGATTGAGGGTTCGATGGTACAGGAGAAGAATTGCAGGGACAATGGTTAGGTAATGAACTTAAGGATTCGATACAAGAGAAATGGGTAGAGTGCATCAGTTTGAGGATCTGCCGGAGATAGGACAGGAATTCGGTGGGAAAGTGGAAGACGCGCAGGTAGTTGTCAAGACGGTACCTGGGATAAGGATCTGTATGCATGGGAGTCAAGGGACAAAGGGATGAGGATTCGACAACCTCAACATCTCTTCTGGCAAGGAAGTGGAAATATCGTGGTTTTTCCAGAAACCGCACGTGTGACGCAGCGCGTTCTGTTTTCGCTTCGCGATTCTCGTAGCGAGCCACCGATTATGGTAGCGATGTGTGTTCGAGGGGCGTTCATGTGACCGTGAGCCCCTCGCGCGTCATAATATATTTTTAGCAATTAAGATTTTCAACTTGCAACGATCGTGAACATATTTTAGGACTAAATCCTCGACAATTTTGTTATTATTAATTTATGCCTTATTTCGGCTTGTAGAATCACCCTTTAAATTTTCTACGAACTGTTTCCGAACACCCTGCATATTTTCTTTCTCATTCTTGTGACTTTCCTCATATCGTGACTCGCCTCGAATAATTAATAATAAATAAAACATACATAAATAAATTCTAAAGTAAAAGTTCAATTTTAATTTACTCTTTGTACTTACATGCAATAAGAATTTTAATATCTACTTGTCATCACAGATATGGTTATGATAAATACAAAGCACGAGGAACAACAGGAATCTGAGGGGAAGACGCGGCCGTGGAAATAAAAGAACAGAAGAAAATAAAAGGGTTTCAAATGATACTCCTTAGTTAATATAAGGCGCCAAGTGTTCGTATAAACCAAAGGACTGTATAACCAGTAACTAGTAAATATTAAGCCTGTGTAACGTCTAACATAACGTGTCATTTGGTTGCGGTGGCAATGTCTCTTCCCCAGCTTTATTGTAACTTATTTATATTACCATCAAATGACACTTCGTTTTACAAAGAATATTATGTATAATTACGATAAAACGTATTATTAAGAATACGGTTATACATATTACTAATAATATTCTGTATATTTTTTGTTATTAATTTTATCACTGCTTGACGAACGGAATGAAACTTTTGTTACTTCAATGATTATAAATGATCACGATTGTAGCAATGGTAGTCCTAGATAAGGATTATTCTGAGAAACCTATGAAGTAGAAAGACGAGAATTGTACTTCTTGTTAGTAAAACAATCACCTTTGTGATTCATGTTGACAAAATCGAAGACTATAAATTTATCCGAATGGTTCACAAACTATTCACAATTAATTCTTTTAAGCAAATAATCTTTCTGCGTTTAAAGTGATATATATATGATTTCTCGAACGAAAAAGGACATAATAAAATAGCACAAAGGAAGGAATTTGTTGTCATGTTTAATGTGTCAAAATATACATTGTACCAGTAAGTATTATTTCTGTAGTTACGAACGATGGAAGATATGCAAATAATTTTCTTAGGTGTGCATTTTTTCGGAAGAATGGAAACGTATTTGAATGTTTTCATTTTTTTTCTTTAAATGTTCTTTTCGTAATTTACAAATATTACGTATCTTGTTCTGACAATGTTACTTGCGTATACGCGAATCACATACAAACTTGTGTCAACACATGCAATCATATCACAATACGTACCGAATAAATATTGAAATGATAAATTGTTCGCTTTAACCAGTAGTTAGCTAAACATTTAACTTAATATAAATTTCTAAGGTGCAACAGCTATTGCAAGATATAGTAAGAATAAGAAAATGTAAAGGAACGTGAAATAATATTTACACACTTTGGTACAACTCATGATAAATGTTGACACGTTTACTTTTTCACACCTACACACGTTGTCTCAAGTAACATGAAACACACCCAACGTTTACTTTGTATACTACAAACTAAAATTAAGAAAATTTTCATAACGCACCGAAGTTGTAAAATTTTTGAAAACAAATCTGAAAGTATGAGTTCTGATTAATGAATTGTAAACGTTTACTGTAAAATCCATGTTGTTTGAAAGCAATATTATCAATTAAATAGTTAAATATACTTGGGATTGGGATTTTTAACATATGAGAACATTGTCAGTGAATTTGTCGATACATCGACAATATACATATACTCGCGCGTGTGTATTTCTCTGTGTGTGTGTGTGCGCGTGTGCGTGTGCGTGAGTGCGTGAATGAAGAATGTGAAGAATTGCTTTGAGAACAGCAAATTTTGCGTATTGGCACACTTTTTCAGATTGATAAATTTGACTTTTATATAAAAAGAAAAAGAAAAAAGATAGTTTTGAACTGAATTCAAAATTATGATAATCGCAACTATTCGTATTGATTACGATTTCGCAATTCTTTCTATGTTTCGTTTCAATTATGATACGGGATATGATTCGTCCGCAACATAAACAGACTGTGCGAATAATAGACAAATTGCCTCGTAAGAATATCCTATTAGACATAGAAATTGAGAGACATGAAAGAAGCATAAAATAGTTGAAAGTAAATGCAGAATAAAAAAAAGAAAAAAAATCATTGTATCGCACAAAGTATCGATAAGTATCGAGCACATAAACCATTTTATTATATGAGTGGGATGTAAAATTCACTTGAAGATGTATCAAATGATATACGTATTTTATACGACAATAAGATAAAATTTAAGGTACGTTCTTATTATTAGTGACACACCAAGTAGCTTGCAATTTATAATCACTGGAAACATTTACGTTACATACATATGATATCCGATTTCGATCGTCGATCGTCGACGACATCTATTACAGAAGGTTTCGTAGGTATCTCCGCACGTGGCAATTTTGTACCTTGCGGCTGTGTACGTGATACGGAATATACTCCGAATGCAAGACAATGATACTTCATTTACGTTGTAACGTATAGTTTAGATTTTGTGCAGTCGAATTATTCCAGACGATCCACGTACATCATTTGAAATGTTCCATTCAGTATTCCTTTGGAAAATAACGAAGAGACTGTGTTGTAAGGTACAAGAAAAATCGTAAAGTTATCGTATAACCATTCGACAAAATTGCTACACAAAAGAGTTGCACAATTGTTCAATATCGATTTTGCATGCTTTTACAGCATATGCCAAAGTGTCGCAACGTTCGACTGTAACATTACTCACACGAGCCTGCCAAGCTTCCAAAAATGAAGAGAACGATGGAAGGAAAGGTCGTCGACATCATCTTAAAAACGTTTCGTTCTCGTGTTAGATATTGTTACGTTTTCTAGTTGATCCGTTTACAGCTAATAAATATCGCTGTTTGTGTCTAAAATATGTATCGTACGTATCACCGCTGTTCAACCTGTATGTTGCGTCCCTAAACGGCGCGCGTAAACGTGTACTTGTAATTACAACATTTGTGTTGAAACCATGCTATTAATATATATGTACATATTGGACAAATTGCTTTTCCACTTTCCTTCGACGAACGTTTTAGACAAATTAGTGTTACCATTATTATTATTTTCAATTGTCACGCAGCACATATATAAATACTTGACTGTCTGATGATATTAAAAATTCGGTACGTTGAATGGGTTCGCCGAAGGAAAGTAGCTATAAAAAGAGTAGCGTCGATGCAAGGAAATTTTAAAAATCGAGTGACTTCGATGATAATATTGTATATAAGAGGAATGTAAAGAAACGAAAATCAATGTTAGGGATCGTCCAGATCGAATTTGTCTCGAGATGTAGAAATAACTTGTCGTATACATTTGTATAGGCAAATAGACTCGAAATAGTTTGATTGTAGAAAGGTGTTACTTGAAAATAGCTGCTTAAGAAATTTAGAATGCTATTAAGGATAAAGTGTCGAGTTGGTTAAATTTATGAAAAATTACGAGCAAAGAACAAGTAATCACTTCGAATTTCACCGTAATGTAATTAACCCTTTAGCTACGATATGTACCAAGGATAAAACGATTCACTGTGCATGGCACGGTGTTGGAAGATTAATCACCGTGACATATTGAAAATATTAAATTTCCTACCGAATTTGATATTCTACGGGAACAACACCTTCCTTTGTGCAAATCTTTTCTGAATTATTATAATTGCGTAACATTCGACAATATTTCCAAGATTGTATCTGTTCGATAAGAAATATGGATTTAAATTAACTGAATATATATATGCGCTTTTTGTAAATGTACAGTAATTTCTTAAGAGCGTGTACATGCGTACACGCGTATAGGTATGTATACGTAGCGAAAGGGTTAAATATGGACTCATAAAATTGCACGTTTAAGTATAGAAAACTTATACAGTTATAAAAGTAACGCGTTCCAAAAAAACGTCTTTTTAAAGAGAATATAAATTTTCACGTATGAAATTACATTAAAAAATATGAAAATTAGGGATAAACTATTATCAATGAAATTCGTTGATATTTCCATGAGAAGTATACAGGGTGGTCCACGCAATTGATTCAGGTCGTAACTCCGTTATTAATGCATTTACGAAAAAATGCCAAAGGAGAAAGATAAATAGCTCGAAGAGCACTACATTTGTAGGCCTTTAGATTTTTTTTTAAGTGCAACAGTGCATGTGCAAATGGAAATGCCAATTTTTTGTTGCACAGATCGATTCCTTTGTTCATTCTACGTAAAAATTTATTAGGGTACCATGGCAAAAACATTATTAGTTCTCGAGATATTTATAATACATTTTCTTTTATTCAGTGAAATACAATTACAATTTTTCAAATTCTTAGTTTTTGTACTCCTGTCACGATACGTAAATTGCTACTGAACGATGAAATGCTTACTCGTACAAATCAGTTTCTGTTATGACAATAATGTCGAAACGGTGCTTACGTTTACTACATAGTCATGAAGCGTTTAAGCATCTTCTTCAGTAAAGACATTTTTTGAAAATATCTCGAGAACTATAAATTTTTTTGCAATGGTATCCTAATAATTTTTTACGTAGAATGAACAGAGGAATCGATCTGTGTAACAAAAAGTATGCATTTTCATTTAAAGAAATGATGCAATTGTTAATTGCACATGCACTGTTGCACTTAAAAAAAATCTAAGGGTCTACATATGTAGTGCTCTTCGAGCCATTTATCTTTCTCCTTTGGCATTTTATCGTAAATGCATTAATAACTATGTAGTGCTCTTCGAGCCACTTATCTTTCTCCTTTGGCATTTTATCGTAAATGCATTAATAACGGAGTTATGAGCTAAAACAATTGCGTGGACCACCCTGTAGAGACAGACAGGTAATTCATTGTAATCAATTTGTTGAAAGCAAACAGAAACGTTTTCTAAAGTCTTCGCGTATCTCTTCTTTAATACAGCCACGTACATTAGTATTACAATCAAAGAGAGTATAATTGAAAGTGAACCTACGTTAGAGAAGTGCTGATTCAGTAAGGTTACGTTTACCAACTCAATATTGTAGTTGCCATATCTCTCGAGGCTGATCTCGAACTCAGACGATTCTTCGATCGTAATTTTTTATTAATGGTATCAGATGTATCAGGACTAGTATATATTTTGCTGTTGCGTAACCAGCGTAAGTCATGATGAAGAGAGAATGATATGACTATACTAAACGGCAAAATACATCCGTAACACTCCCACTTGATCCCTGAAAAAGTCTGTGTACAAGCGAAGAAAACATATTTGTAAAAATATATTGTATGTCGATGAATATAACGATAATTGCGATTAACGAAAAGAAAGAGCAGTGCCGTTCCTTACTGTTAGCTTTTACCTAGTTTTCAATGATTTTACCTATTAATTCTGCATTCATATTTAAA